AGAGAGAGAGAGAGAGAGAGAGAGAGAGAGGACGGGAACACCCTACCCCCCACATTCAGCCCAACCTTAATACTATTATTATTAATTAATGATAATTTAATATTGATTAATTAAGTTATTGTGTTTTGCGGTTAAGTTTCCAAAGATTAAATTATCACAACTTTTATAAACACAGAAAATAAAGTCAAACAAAAATCAATTATAATATCATTTAAGACTATTTAAAGCAAAATATTTTAAAATTGTTTTCTAAATATGTTTTTTAATGTCTTGAACTTCCTTTCAAAAAAAAAATCTAAACCGCTATATACTGTATAGTGTTGTTAACGCATAGACTATTGAATAGAAAATTGTTTTCAAATATAATTATAAAATGCAGTGCTTTTTAAAAAAGTGAATATTGTGAAAAATAATAAATAGTTGACCAATACTGTATAAGTTTTAGTCTTAATAAGGTAGGAGGTTATTATTTAATATTATACTCTGTACATATTAAATAAGATAATGTAATTTAATAATATAAAATAATATAATTTCTTACAGTATACTTATGATGGGAATTTATGTCCATTTATAAATAGTAATATTTAAACAAAATCAAAATCCAAGATAAAATGCAAAAAAGAATATTCAAATATTAAAGTTATATTTTGCATTTGTAATAAGAAAATAACACTTTCGCGCATATCTGTAATGTAATGTTATTTTCAAGCGAATAAATTGACCAAGTATTTTCAATATTTAATTTAATTAATAATAAAAGTACATTTTGTAAGATGTCTTTATAAAACAATAAATTATTTAAAATTAACTCTTTATATAAAAGTGAAAACAATATTCTAAACACAAAAATAACATAAATTATTGCATAAATTGAATTAAAAAGATTGAATTAATCGGATCTAAAATCACATAAAAGTTTGATTTAAAGAATCTGCATATCATTTATCAATTATTACTTGTACTGTATATAAGTTTATATTATCTCAAATTTATAATCGATTATAATTATTGAAACCATTCAATCGATTGTCAAGAATTAGATTAAAAATGTTGTCCACGTTTTGATCGTCTGCTCAAATGTCTTAATGAACTTTACTTTTAGACCGATTCGTATTAAACACTTTAATCCTCTGCCTATTCATGTGATTCATCATAAAATATAGCGCTATAACGACAATTCAAGTCATATTAAAATTAATTTAATACAAATTCAATTTAAAACTCATTCAAATTGATAAATACCGGGGAAAAAGCCGAACAACAGGTAAAGTCTAATAATAGTTGGCATATGAAGTGAAAAGTTGAGATCGTTTGGCAAACCAATAGAGAATCGTTTACTTTCTTCCAAATAAGTGATGTTATTATACAAAATGACACCTTTTTGAGAGCAAAACACAATTATTGATTTTGTAATAAATAAATAAATGACTGAATTGGCAGACCTTCGCAGAGGAAACCCAAGGGGTAGAGCAGAATCCAAGCCGTGTAGCGAATGGTTGTTAGAAATCCAATGTTCACATTAAACACATGAAGCATATAATACGGATATCTACGCAAAAATAATATTTATATTGTTTCAAATATTATTGAATAAATGTTCAATATTAATACCGAATCATTTCAGAGATGGTGTACACAAAGAACAGGTATATAACCCATGGATTTGCGTGAATTTTTGGCTCAGAATCAACCATAAAGAAGATCAAAAAGACTCGACCGAACAGTTGAATGGAAGGCATTAAAGCGCTTCCAGATGTGTATCCCATTAACGGGTGAAGAATTTCCAAAATTTTCATTAAATGCAAAAATTTCATAACTTTGCCGACCAATAGGTAAACGCCTTCAGTCGACTCTAATTGCCAAATATTATTATACAACTGTAAAGAATTGAGACAATTGTCACTCACGAGAACCGTCTTTGAGGTAACGAATGGTAATTATAAGAAACACATAAACAAAGCCAACGAATTGAAACAAATTGTAGAGAAAAAGATATGTTTTCTTGAAATCTTCGACTAAAACAATGATAAAAATTTCACGAATAAAATCAAAATGTATTTTAAAAACAATCAGAATTTTTTTAAAAAAAACCTTTGAATCCTTTATTCATAGACTTCTTTCGACGACCAAAATCTTTTTGACCAAAATTTCGGTACGAATTCTGTTGGTTTGGAATCAATTCATCAAATTCTTTGTCGGCGGAGTTCACGTCGGCGTCGGACTCTTCTTCGGGTTGGATGCGATCGAAGTCTACTTTAATCCATTGCGGTCTCACCACCGATGACAACAGTCGCGGCCACAACACATTGCATCGCTTCTTAATCACAAACTCGATGTGTCTGTCGTTGTGTTTGTAAAAACTTTCCTAAAGTTAAGTATAAGTTAAATGAATTAATGAATTGTAACGAATATAAAGTGAATTACCGTTGGATTGACATCAGTGTAGAAATGGATGAGAAAAGCGTATTCATTCAGACCTTTGGCCCCAATTCCCGATCCAAAGAATTGAAGACTATTTTCCTTCAAATCAATTAATGGACACTAAAATGGGTGACAAAGAGTCGGCCAATCAATCACTCATTCAATTGTTATAAATCATATATAGGATTACAAACCTTAACATTCATGAGATCAATCTTAAGACTGATTTGATCACTCGTTTGCCCCCAATATACGAAAGGACTTAAATATTTGTCGGTAAGTGACGGATCCATTCAGTGATAGTTCAGATTCAATTGACACACAATTATATGAGAAATGTTTTCTCTCTAAATGTGAACCAATAAAAGACAATTAGTTATCAATAAATGG